AACTATGAGACATTTAGTTTCTAACCTCTTCACTAAGCTTTAACTTCTACCACTATACAGTTGAAAGTTGTACTGATATGGGTCTAAGAATTACTAAGTACCATGTACTAAGTACCAGAAACTTGGTAGTGTAGATGGCGCTGTCAGCCATTTTATGTAAAGATCAAACTTCTCTGGATTTACTCTCAACCCAGTTTTAATAAATTCTCAATTAAAATGATGTTTTACATAACTGATTTCTTAAGATATTTGATTAAGTTTTTAAATCATTAAATAGTAGTAAAGCATTTTATTTTACTTCAGTTCAACAGAGATGGAAATAATATATATCTACAATCATTTAGAAAACCAGAGTAAAAAAGAAATATATATTCTGATATTTCATGTCTTTCTCAGATTATACATATTCCAACTAAGTCCAACTTAATTCTCCTTCACTTTTTACTTCATATTTTATGGTTTTATTTTTTAATTTTAGTATACTTTATAACTTCATAAGAGTTTGACTTGCTTTAATACTTCCTGCACTAAAATCTACTAAAATACAGCTAAATCTTATGAAACTAACCCGGTGCTATCTCTCTGACCATATTAAAATTTTTTTTACTAAAGTTAGATCTTGAAGAATAAAGAATATTTAATTAGGTAAAGTAATAAAAGGAAGAGAAAACACTGTATTAAGTAAAGGAAACTAAGGAAAATATGCATAGCTATGAAGTTGCGTGCAAAGAAAGGCATAAATTTTAATTAAAATGTTTTTTAATTACAGTGAGATACACAGTTGAAAGTCCCCAGTTTCCCTGCCACCCCACCCACCTGCCCACCTCATCTGACTTTGTGGCAGGAACTTTATTTTACTTTCTCTCTCTCTCTCTCTCTCTCTCTCTCTCTCTCTCTCTCTCTCTTTCTCTCTCTCTCTCTCTCTTTACTGTTGGGTATTATGGTTTGCAGTACAGATATTGAAAGTTATTTGGCCACGTTTTTTAAAAAGCTAACATTGATTTCTTAGCTAAACTAACTTAAACAATTATGAAAAAAAGAACACAAATGATCAAAAATGAAAAAAATTTACAACTGATGACACAGAAATAAAATGATTAGGCTGAAGATGTAGTTCAGTGGGAAAGTACGTATTTCACATGCGATACATCCCTGGCACCATTAAACAAAAAACAAAGCATCATAAAATAGTACCATGAGAAGAGAGACAAATTGGATAATGTAGAAGGAGCAAAGTTCCTTTAAACATGTAACTTACATTTACAACAAAAATATAAACGGACCAATAACAAAAAGATCAAATCAGGGAGCCAGAGTAATAGCACAGTGGGTGGGTGTTTGCCTTGTACAAGCCCACCCGGGTTCAATCCTGGCGTCTCATTTGGTCCATCTGTGCACTGCCTGGAGTAACCCCTGAAACCCTGAGCGTCTCTAGCTGTGGCTACCCCCACCCCCACCCCACGCTAAAAGATCAAATTGGTTAATCAAAAATCTCCATAAAAGGAAAATCAGGACTAGAGGACTTTCTGGTAAAATCTATCAAAGAAAAATTAATGCCAATACTTCTCAAGATCTTCTGAAATATAAGGAGTAAACACAAACTCATTTTATGATGTTAGTATTACTCAGATACCAAAGTCAAATAAAGACACATGAAAATAAAGCTATAGATCAAAATCCTAATGTATATGCAAAAATACCTCCAAATAACATATAACAAATACAATCATGAATAACTTTGTAACTGCATCTTGTGATTCAATTAAAAAAACTCCCCCAAATAGAAAAAAATTCTAAAATTTCAGGATACCACATTACATACACAGGAGACATAAAGACTACAATGGGCTGACACTGTTGCTTTACATATCTGATTTTGATTCTGGTACCACATGGTCCTCAGTACCACCAGCAGTAACACCTGAGCATCAAGCTGAGGGTAACTCCAGAACACCAATGCATGTGTGTTAAAAACCAATACAATAACAGACCTGGAGGAACTTTGTTTTTTTACATCAAAATAAATAGCCAAGCAACAATGACTAAAATATGTTACTGGCATAAAGATAGGCTTATAAATCAATACAGAAGAGGGCCTAGAAAGAAATTCACACATGTAAACTCACCTTTCATATGGTACCAAGAATATATAAGAAGAAAGAATTGTCTTTAACAAATAGTATTGGGGAAACTGGATATCTTGATGCAAAAGGATGACATTAACTCTATTCTTACACAAAAAACTTGTAACTCAAAATTATGAGAAGATTTAAAAGACCCAACAACTCCTAGAACATGGGGGGTGGGGGGAGAAGTGTCATGACATCAGCCTTGGCAGTTATTTCCTAGATGCCATATAAACTTTATTTACATGGCAAAAGAAATAACCATCAAACAACGGGAGGACAGTGCTACAGCTACAATATACATCTATTCACTCAACATGAAAAACCAGCATACCTATTCATTTTAATAAAACTTTAAACTGTAATCAAAATCTTATATAACATAGTCATCAGGCTATGGTAGGGGCCAAGAAGAAGTTGCTGTACAATGATACTTGTCTATAAGGATGAAATTCACCTGCATGAAAATAAATCAAGTGTTATAGAGGATAAATATGACAGCAAATTGGATAGCAGAACTTGGAAGCACTGTAGAAATGCAGATGATTTTCAAAACAGAAGAATGCTAAGATTTTGGTAAAGGAGATGGAAGGAGAAAATTGGTAATTAATACATGTCTGACCATGGGTAGGTAATTTACCCGTACTTTTTGAGTCCCTGTTTACAAAGTTAACACATTTCAAAAACCTAGTGTGGCTGGATTATAACTCAGTTGAAGGGCACATGCTTTGAATGTATGAGGCCTTGGGATCTTCCCCCTTTCTTTTCCCCAAATGTTTAGTGCAGTTTGCTTGGGGAAGGCTTTGAGTTTTAGAGAATGAACACGTTTCTATTAAGGTAAAATCTCTGTTGATAGGAATTATCAAAAATTGGCCATGGACTTCAAATATTTCTACTCTCATTTCCTCTTGTATTTTATTGGCAGTATGTTCCACTGTTTCTTTCATATCCTCCTGTATTTTATTGGATATCCGTTCTACTGTTTCTTTGAGCTCATTAAATAACCTCCTTATTTTGACTCTGAAAGATTATCTGTGTTGGTATTTCTTGATGGAATTTATAGAGCTATAAATCTGCAAAAAATTTTACGTACACCATGAGAAAAGTTGACTAGTATAGTCGTGGTCTTATATATTTTCAATTTTTCTTTTGCGAATAGCAAAATTTTTATTTTGTTCCGCATAATATGGTAATCTTCATTTACTATTTGCTGCTTCTTTGCATGTAGCTCAGGAAAATTTAATTCTAGAGAATTAAATCTTTCAATAGTGTAAAGATTCTTTTGGGGGGGAGTTGAGGAAGAATAGTGTCAAAGAGTAACTCAGTCACAAAATGATAGCACATTGTTATAGGGGAAATAAAGCACTATGATTGGCTCCATATGAAGAGGGTGGGTGGGAAGATTTATTAAAAGAAAGGAAAAGGAGATCAAGTAATTGTTAGTTCAGAAGAAGTGAATTGTTTGTATATTATTTTGTTAGATAGCTGGCAGCAGCCAGTCAGAACAGTTTGTCCTTTAATGTAACAGATAAGAAATTCTCTGAAAAAATCTGTGAGCTCAGCCATGAAGCTATATGACATGCTGTTCCTCTGTAATGTCAGTCATTACTGTACTACTACACTCATTAGACATCTTAATATATCGGCTGCATTTTCTAAATCCCTTTTCTCTAAAATCCTCACTGGTTCCTCTTCTGAGTTCTTAAAAGATCATAATCCAAGATGCTCTTTAGTAGTATTTATAAAAACTGCAATTAGAATCATTTTTCTTGTATGAATTTGAATTAAATATAAGTATACAAATTTTAAGTTCTTCATTCTTGGATTTTTCTAAGGGTTAGTATCAGTATAATCACATCCCAATAAAATAGCAGATAGTAATGACAGTACTATCAAATGAATATGAGCTAACAGAATTAAGTTGGTAATAGCTAAATGTGCTTATAAGTATTTTAACACTAACACCTTAAATATTGATCACAAGATATTTTAATTAATCACTTTGGTGCCAGCAGTTAATTGCTTCTGCTCAGAAGTGAATTATTCAATGAGCAAAATTTGGCAAGTATTTGCTGGCCACAGGTTCACAGTCATTGTGAAGCAAGAAGTTTTAGATTAATATCAAACCCGGGAATATATACTTGTTATGCATAATTTTAGAATTAAAATCTTCTGATAATGTATTTCTTCCAGAAAAGTTGAAATGCTACATTAGCAGGCGCTTGCGCAGGTGCGTGTGCGTGCGTGAGTGTGCGTGTATGTGTGTGTATACATCTAAGCGTGTGTGTGTGTGTGTGTGTATGTCTGAGCAGAGAAAACACTTTTTACATATTTACATAAAAAGCAAAAAAAATCGCCGTTTCTTCGTGTACTTTTCTCCAAATATATAAACTTTAAAATATACCAGGTATATTGAAATAATTCTTTATCATATCTTGTAAGGATGAGGTGATTTTTCTTCCCTGCCCTTGCTGTGTAATATTGCAACACAGCTTTTCTTAAAAATCAAGCTCCGCTCATCTCAAATTGTTAAGAATTTATATATGAAGGCCTGCACTTGCTTATCCGCATTACTACACTTAAGCCCTATGATCTAACAGATATGAATACATAATATTTTAAGTGAACATTGGAGACAATTTCTTGTGTCTTAGAAATTCATTAAGCGCCTTAGAGCATAAACATGTTTAACAGATCTTACACATTTGATTGCACCTATTTACGTACGCCAAAACTGTCAAGTTGCAGCATCTACCGGCTAGGTAACAAGAAGACAAAAGAACATTCTTGACTGACCGGCGTAATCACAAAGATTACGGAATTCTCGCGCGAGATTACTAGGCGCTGGGCTGACGTCACGGTTGCCATGGTAGCATCCTCTCCGGAGAGAAAAAGCGGGGTGGTCAGAGGGGTGGAGCACAGTTTCTGCAGAGGACCGGAGACGCGCTCCTCCTGCAGGTCTGACTTCTTCCAAAATGAGCGGCCTGGAAGAGAGCAAAGACCCGCCCGTCGTGGAAACCCCCGGCCTCGCTCCGCCCGATGATGATGCCTCGGTACATCCAGACCCGAGCCCGTGCCCGGGGATGGAGACCGCGGCGAAGCAATTGATGGCGGACACAGGTGAGAGCAGCTTGGGGACCGCCGCAGAGGGAGGCGCGCCCCGGGAACCCGCAGACTGTGGCTTCGCGCTCCGCATCCGAGTTGCGGGGAGTCGCGTCGGTGCAGCCACCAAAGTAGCTCAGGAAGAGGCCCCGCCTCCCACCCCGGGCCGGGAAGCGGCCCCTGCCGCCGCCGCCGCCGCCGCCGCCGTGGCATCTGACAATAGCCAGGAGAAAGGCCGTCCGCGCAGAGAGGCCCGCGGCCTTGTCGGGGAGAAAGCACTAGAAGCTTGTGGCGCAGTGGGGCTGGGGTCTCTGCTCCTGGCTGGGGTGAAGGCCAAGGAAATGATGAAAAGGTGTGGCGTTCTAGCGGCAGCGGAGAAGGAGGGAGGAGCAGCCGAGGTGGCGGGAGAAAAGGGGATGCAGAAGGAAAATAAGGCAGCAGGAGGAAAGGAGGAGGGGAAGCCCAAGGCCCCGAAGATCAATAACTGCATGGACTCTCTTGAGGCCATCGATCTGGAGCTGTCGCAAGTGAATGCCCAGGCTGACAGGGCCTTTCTTCAGCTGGAGCGCAAATTCGGCCGTATGCGAAGGCTCCACATGCAGCGCAGAAGCTTCATTATCCAGAATATCCCAGGTTTCTGGGTCACTGCCTTTCGAAACCACCCGCAGCTGTCCCCTATGATCAGTGGCCAAGATGAAGATATAATGAGGTACATGATCAATTTGGAGGTGGAAGAGCTCAAGCACCCTAGATCAGGCTGCAAATTCAAGTTCATCTTTCAGAACAACCCCTACTTCCGAAATGAGGGGATTGTTAAGGAATACGAGCGCAGGGCGTCAGGCCGAGTGGTGTCTCTTTCCACTCCAATCCGCTGGCACCGGGGCCAAGACCCCCAGGCTCACGTCCATCGGAACCGGGAAGGAAACACAATCCCCAGTTTCTTCAACTGGTTTTCAGATAACAGCCTTCTTGAATTCGACGCGATTGCTGACATTATCAGAGGAGAACTCTGGTCCAATCCCCTGCAGTACTACCTGATGGGTGATGGGCTCCGCAGAGGAATGCGAGATGTACGACCTCCAGTGGAGAGTCCCAGGTCTTTCAGGTTCCAGTCTGGCTAAATCCTCCTGCTGAAGCTTCCTCCTCAAGTTACCATACCACCTCCTCTTGGACCCATGCTTGGCCATCAGCATGCAGCCTTCCATCTGCTATCTCTTCATACTGAATTTTGTCCTTTGATTCTTCAACAGTCTTTTAAATCTTCAGCAGTCAGTTGCAGCACTGCAACTTACACGCCAATGCTCTTTTTTTCCTTCAGGGCCTTCATACTATTCTACATCCAATTACATGTTCCAGGCGCATGCCCTTCCACTGCTTCTATGCCAACACATGATGCTGTAGATAAACACCATCTTCCTTTGCATGCATGACTTGGGATCCTTTCTGTGACTGATCCTATCAGTTTTATCAGTGGTTATCTACTGCAACAAAGCTTGATACATCTTTGCAAATAACTCACTGGGTTTCACACTTTATGCTGGTCTTTGAGGTGCACCTGTGTAAGATGAAGCTGCTACAGATGATGCCAGCCATCAACCCAGACTGGACATTTCAGGCTACCATTAACTGGATTCCAGCTGCCTTCCTGGACCCATGCCATGTATTCTTCTGTTTTTTGGCAGTATCAGGTGGCTGGTAGGTGGCTACTAGGCATGGATGAGGTAACAGATGAGAGGTGTGCTGTTATGCCTTTGGTCACTGTGCGTCATGACCAGATGCTGGTGAGTATCAAGACCTGTTAGGACCCACCCAAACTTATTTCAGCCTCTGATGAGCTTTGCACAGGAACCATTGTCTGCCTTCCTAGAATCATCTGTGAACTAAAGCTCTCAAAGGTCCATGGGTCACACATAAACCCAGTCAGGCAAAATTATTGGGCAGTTATATGAGACAGTGCCCAAAACAAGGCTGGGATGGGGGTTCCTTCCAGTAGTTAACTTTTCTGAATCCTAGCCAAGAAATCATTCTTAGGTTAGGCAATTTTGTTAGGCATTTCCTAACACCTTCTTTACCTACTTAGTATAAATATGACCAAGCTCCCAAGATGGCACTGAGAAAGAAGTATTTCTGATTTGTGGGACCTGTTAAACATGTCTTATCTGATGGTCTCTTTCCATCTCTTCCTTTTTCCACCTCTTCCTTTCCTATCCTTCATGCCTCCTTTTCCTTTCCTTCCTCCAAAAGAACTCCCATCTCTCTTCCCATGTCTAAAGCAGTTATTCTTCACAAATAGAAAACAAAACTGGCAAAGCAGGCTTTTTAATTTAATTTGCTTTGCTCTTTGTTATGAGGAAGAAAGTTCTAAACCTTTTGAAAGGAGACCGCTATGGCTTATTGTTGCTTAATTATAGGCTATAATCAATGTTCTTTTAGGCCATTTTGACCACCCTTATCCCTGTCCCGTTTTCCAAAACTTGTGTTTTGAGCTTTATTTTGAGAAACTGGGAGGAGAGTCTGAAGACCTCACATTATGATCAAGACAGACCAGAGAAAATTATGACCTAAAGCAACAAAATGTAATTCAAATATTTAAATCTATGTCTGTAAAGGTTGATTTTTTTTGGGGGGGTAATGGTGGACCACTAAGAAATTGACTCCACAGCAGCATTTTATGGGCAATCCTGTTCTTTTTTTACTTTATTACTACCTTGATACCCTAGGGGAGTCCATTCTGCTGCCAGGCCTCAGGTTCTCAGCTTCTTAATTTCCTTCTCTGCTTCAGTTCTAGCCAATGAGGGAGCAGACTGCAGTCTGCATTGCGGAGAAGCTAAGCCTCCTCCCTAGCTAAGCCTCCTCCCTCTCTGGAGTGGGGATGTGTGGGAGGGCGTGTTCCAATAGGTGAAACAGCTATGTTGCCAGGGCTGGCTTATTTGCTGAGTTGTGTGGTGGGAATAAAGAATATCTCCCTTTATTTTTATGAAGGTGTTGCCCTAAGCATCCTCTGGGGTTAGGGAGCAGCAAAAGGTATTCTATGCTGGGGAAACAGAAATCCCTGAAATGTGCTGTTGAGACCCAGGCTGGGAAGGCAGATAGGGAAGACTAATTCAGCAGGGTCTGAGTTGTGAGGGGTCTCCGCTTTCCCCAGAGATACAGTGGTTGACATTTAAAGGTGATTCTTGGAGCAGTGCTTTCTTCCAATTTTTCTCAACTCTTTGAATTCAGTTTTTGTTTTGTTTTGTACATAGAAATGCAAGTCAGGATGTTTTCTCTATTATTCTAGGAGTAATCTTTTATGTATAGAAGATGAATGGTATATGCTCATTTCACTGTGTTTAAGTAAAATCTTTTTTCCAGTTTTGCTTGCTAGCAAAATTGACGTTGACAAATCCTCTCTGCCTGTAATTGAGAATGTGTGCAAAATATCAAACTTGTGTCCTTGTAATATGAAGCCTTCTGTGATTATTAATATATCGGCTTGTTCTGGTCTCTCTTCATGTATAACTCAATTACCGTTCTAACTTGAACAGTCTGATCTTTGAAGAGTCTGGAATTTTGCAAGTTGTCACTGTGTCTTGTGAAAGTAATCTCAAAAAGAACGTGACTGTTGTCTTGATATTTCTTGACCTAGTAGTCATGTACTTGATATATTGTCATATACTTGATATATTATGTTCTTAACCAGTGTAAGTACCTGTAGAATTGCTGTCAAACTAAATAAGGATTGTTAGTACTTTCGTCTTTTATGTGCTTGAAGAAAAAATTAAATTTGTCACTGCTGTATTTGTTTTATCAAAAAATAAAAATAAATAAAGTTTTGTCTGTGTTGTCTAGGCCTTTTTCCCCCCAAAAGAAAAAATGATTGGGAGTAATTGAAAGCTGCCATATGATTATGGTCATAACACAGTCCTGAAAGATTTAAGAAAAAAGAATAGAAGAAAAGAGCAGGGGTGGGGGGATGGAGGGTGGGGCAGAGCAATAGTACAAAGGGTAATGCATTTGTCTTGTATACAGCCAATCTGGATTGGATCCCTGGCACCCCATATGGTACTCTTAGCCCACTTAAAATGATCCCTGAGCACAGAATCAGAAGTGAACTGAGCCCTGCAAGGTGTGCCCTCCCGCCCCTGTCCCAAAGGTTGGTCTTGGCCAAAAGATGACTCAAAGGAGCAACTACCACTTCCTTTCTCCCCACATTCCCAGCTAGGTGGCCTTCCAAAACAAGGGACAGTAAATAGCCCTTCAAACTTCTGCTTAACAAATTATAAGCATATTCATTAACATATTTTTCCCTTATGCAATCATTAGGGGTTAAATTTATTTTTCATTTTTTTAATAGAAAAATACACATAAAAGAACCACTTAGGGCCAGAAAGAAAGTGTAGTGGACATGGCACTACAAATCCTCTTTGACCATAATTGAAAATGCGTACAATTCTCATGCATGCAACCAAACAACCTGGGTTTGATCCCTGGCTCTGCCTATGGTGCAGAGTCATAAAGCAGTACTAGGAGTTATCCCTGAGCACAGAATTAGAAGAAAGTCCTGAGCACAGCCAGATATGGCCCATATGCCCCCCCCCCACACACACACCAATTTATTAATGAGTGCATTCACATCTTCGCACAATTACAAGGACTATTCATTTCTAGGATGTTTTTCATACCATACTGAAATTACCCATTAGGCAGTAAGTCTTGTTACCCCTCTTCCCAGTCCCTAGTAACTAGTTTGACTTTCCTGAATCTGGCTGCTCCAGGTAGCTGAGTTAAGTTGAATCACACTCTATTTGATCTTTATGTTAGCCTATTTCAGCAAAATAGCTTCACATTTCATTCAAGTAAACTGTTACAAGTTTCAGAATTTCATTGTTTTATTTAAATTTTAGGCACTATGATTAACAATAGAGTTAATGACAGGGTTTCATGCATACAATGTTCCATGAGCACACCCTCTACCTCTAGCAGAGTGCCCCACCCCAACCCTATCCTGCCCCTTGCTCCCCTACAGTGTTCCCATTATAATTTTTGGTGATAAGAGGTAATTAAACCATCTTTTGCACCAGAATGCTTTCATGAAAAAATGTCTCCATGTAACATCTTTGTTTACTAACTATTTTTAGGCTAACCATATCCTTCTTTGGTCTCTCTCTCTTTTTTTTTTCCCTCCAAGCGCAAGGGTCTCTTTTCTTAATGAGCTTTAGATAAACTTTTGGAAGAATTACTGTATGCTGGTAAGTGCTAAATTCTTTTCCAACAACAATGTGAGTGTGGTGTTTTTTTAAAAAAAAAAGACAAACCATATGGCCCCCCAGCCCCACCAGGAGTGATCCCTGAGCACGGTATGTGCTCAGAATTTACTGCTGGCTTAATCCTGTGAGACCCCCAAACCAAACCAAATCATCAACACCCCCACCGGAGGACTAGGATCAGAGATTTGGTACAGTTAATGTGCTTTCCTTGCACAGAGCAGACCCTGGTTCAATTTCTGGCAATTTACATATTATCCTTCCAAGCACCACCAGGAGTGTCCCCTAAACAATCATGAGTAAGTCCTAACATTGCTGGGTGTGTTCTCTCACCCTACCCTCTCACCCCTCCAAAACAAAACAAAAAAAAAATTAGAAGCTGTAATGCTAGTAATGCCATTTTTGTTTTCAGCAACTTTTACAATGAAAGGTTAGAAGAAAAGGTTGGGACATAGTATATCAAACTGATGTGTGTGTGTGTGTTCCTTAATAATAGAACAACTAAGTATGCAGGTATATTAATGTGAATTTCATTTTTCTCACCTGTAAATTGTTTAGGACTCTCTTAAGCAATGCTCAGCTCTATCCTGGAAGAGCTGGTGGTCTGCAGGATCACATTTGGTGGCATATGATTGAACTAAGTGTTTTAAGCATTGCAAGAAACATGCCATAGCCCTTTGAGCTCCCTCTCCTATAAAACTTTTAATAATTAAACAAACTTCTTATGGTTGCTAAAGTGTGCAAATAAATAGGGCACATGAAGTAGCTTGGTGAGGATGATAGGATACATTCCTTTGCTATTTTTTAAAACCAGTGTTTCTGCAGAGGATTTAGATACCAACAGAAGACACATATCTTTTGGTCCTTCCCTGCAGTGTTCTAGGGTCACACTTGGCAGTGATTAAACTTCTGACCCTATGCCATCTCCCCAAAGCTATCTCTGAGGTAATCCCTATGTGTAATGATTGTGCCTAAGGATTTCTAGGGGCAGCAAAAGGACCAGTCTGGTTGATACAAGCTCAGATACATCCCAGTCATACGAACCTGGAATTTAACTTTTTAACAAGTGCTTAAGAATATCAGAAGTGGAAAGGGGACAGTTACTGCAATATCACATTTTTTTCTTTTTTTGGGGGAGGGAGGGGGTTAAAGCTGGTGGTGCTCAGGGGACCACACATTACTGGGCATCAAACCAGGGACTTCTGCATTCAAAGCATGTGCTTCAGAACTTTACACCATCTTCCTGACCAACATCAATTTGAAAAATAAATTATTCATAGGTCAGGGCTGTGGCTCAGTAGCAGAACACTTGCTTTACTTGGGTGAGGCCCTGGATTCAATTCCTGGCACCACACACAAAAACAGTAATAGGTCCCGGAGGGAAAAAAAAAAAAAAGAAAAAACAGGTTCCAAAAAGAGCCGAGATCACCCGCAAGTTCCAGATGGAGTAGGTGCCGCATCCCGCCTCCCCCAGATGGAACCCCGGTGACCAGAAGCCTCTACAAACACAGCTCGAGTATGCGGGAACGAGGACTTTTTCTCAAAACCGCGCAGCCGCTTATGCGGCCGCGCGACATCTCTCTATATACAAAGTGATCAATGAGAAGTAAACCACCCAATCTTTTTCCCTGAAAGTCAGAGTTAAGTTTGGAGCACGGCCACAGCCCCAGAAACACAAGGACTTAATGCAGAACCCAGCAGCTTAGAGCAGAAAAGCGAACGGACGATGAGTTAACCCAGGCCATCATTTCTGCCCAGAGGGGAAAGGGTGTTGCCCCATTCGCCCTCTCTTCTCTGGAAAGAAGGATGGCGG